CGCTATTGGCCAATGAATTGGCGTGATGGTATAAGGGCTTCAGACATTTGTCACACCGGAGGTGTTCCCATAGCGACCGCTGTCGCAGCATCTCGTTCCCTATTCAGGGAACCAAGGTTACATACATAACCGAGATGTTTTTCCGTTCCAAATCTAATTTATAGAAAAAGTCAATAGCAGGGCAAGTTTCTGTGTGCGTAGAGAGAGAGAACGTTTTATTGTCAAGGAAAGGTAAATTTGTTCGAAAAACATGGAAATTGTTTTCATCCTATTGTTAGTCATATTTGTTTGCTTGGTCAGTGTCTTTAAGGGTTTTGAATTATTTGCTGTTGAAGGCTGTAAGGAACTTTGAAATAGCTGTAGCCTAATAATTTGGTGAAGTGATGAACTGTAATGCGGTCGACAGACCGGGAACTAAGCTGTGCATTTATTGGAAAATATAATTGAACGTTCATCAGTCAATCAGAACCAAGCATTTAACATCCCAGTAGTATAATTAGAATTTAATATAGTATAATTTAGGAGAATGATCAGCGCGTTTGTGAATTACCCGTATTCCTAATTCAACATTCTCTCCTCCGTACACCTCCATCCCTCCATCCAGAGTCCCAATCTCACCGAAGAACAGACGATCAACCACGAGTATTCCCATCACAGAGGGACTCCTGGAGAACAGGCCGAACAGAAGGATCTGAAACACTCTTATTTGGGGTGGAATACAGACAGTATAAAATATTAAACCAACAACACACACTCACTTTCCAGGCTGTGAAGGATCGTTTTGATCGTACCACTTCTGTGGGAATCCCACGTACATGCACCAGAGAGCCCAGTCAAAACCATGAGCATAGATGGGATACTTTGTCACTTGCAAGTCATAGTAATTGACTCTATCAAACACAGGGCTCAGGACCAGCGTACGGTCAGCCTGGATACGTGCAAGCAGAGGCTCCGCCCTAAAAGAGAGAGAGAGTACTTTAGAAATATTTCATACACCATTACACCAATAAATCAGTTTTGATTGTAGTAAAAAAAAAAAAAAAGGTAGAGCTAGATTTTCGGATATTTGTGCAAATATTTAGTTTACTGACACTTAAGACAGCTTCAATACTTCACTTCAAGTTGAAGTAGCCTATTAAAATGACTGAAAATATTACAAAAACTGACAAAACACGTAACAAAATTTCTAACACTTGAAATTAAAATGAAAACTGAAAACTTTTAAAATAAAAGCCAATTAAAAATATGAATAAATACTATCAAAGTTTATAAATAATTTTAAAACAACACCGCTTCGCATGTGTTATGTTTTAAGACAGAGAATATCAACAACTAGTTGAGCAAATATTTAGTTTATTGCCTAATACTTAAGTCAGCTGAGCAGTTTCACACCATTTGACATGGACCTCAATGTGGGCATCCAAAATGGCAACCACATCCCCAGTGGCAACCTTCCACCCTGATATTCTGGCCTGGGAAAGCCCTTTCTGCTCTGAATAGGTCACCATCTTCACCAGGCCTGGGTGCTTCTCATTGATGGAGCTCATATAAACATGCAGCTGTGTTTTCAGATCTTCTGTGGAACAGATACATCCAGAATTAATAACTCATTTTGTGAACAATATGCCTCTGAGACGAGGGTTGGATGGGATTTTTTGAGAGAAACAAACCATTTGTGCTGTGGTCGTCCACCAGTATGATCTCTTTGAGCAGGTGGGCTGGAGTTCTGTTGATGATGCTGCAAATGGCTCTTTGAATGACAGACAAAGCCTCATCCAGATAAATCAGCACCACGCTGAGGGTGGGCAGATTGTGGGGGTATTCACGGCTAATGCATCTACAGAAATAGATGAATGCATCAAGACAGATGTTGAAAATTCATAGCGTTTCCATACACCGCTGGAACTCACCTGTGGTCTCGAGTGTCCAGCAGCTCCCGGTCTAGAGGCAACTGGTCACTGAGGAAGGCATTATAACCGTATTTCTGAAAGAGATCCTCAGCCTTCCTCTGGTCATCCTCAGAAAGTTCAACAGTCCATTGCTTGAAAAGGTATGAGTTTGGGAACAACTTCTTTGGTGACTTCTTCTCATTTCTCAATTTAAGGTTTTTTTCTTCTGCAAGAATGTTTCATTTGAAATATATTTGTCTAAAAAAATCACTTCAAATTACATTAATACAAACCCACCAAAATGATAAAAATAATATTGTACATGGACATGTCAAACTAAAGGTGCACTCAGTAATATATATTTTTTTTTTCATATTTTTGATTGTACTTGTCAAGTCATATCACTAGCCTAGTAACATTAGTAAAATTTCCAAGGAGTGAGTTAGCAAACAGGTTGAGATCACATGACCAACTTGCTTTATCTTCATAGTCCTACTGCTTTTGGCTGTTTTTATAAATTAATAATGGCTGACTATGAATAAAACATTCAACATTTGTATCGCTGACTGAAGACATCTACTTTCGTGTGATTATTCATATCACAGATAGAACAAGTTATTTACTTCAAAACACAAAAGAGAATATTCTTCACTCTTAAAAATAAAGGCTCCAAAAGGGTTTGACAGCAATGCCATAGAAGACCCATTTTATATTAAGAATCTTTAAGTGAACAGTTATTAAAATAATTTTTTTCTTAGTGCAAAGAAGTTTAATAATAATTTTTACATTTCAATAATCTGAAGAAACTTTTTCCACTATAAAGACTCTTCTATGCAATGAAAAGATACCATGGAGGTTAAAGGTTTGCATCCATTAATACCAATAAAGAACCTTTATTTTTAGGGTTGTTGGTAACCTAACAGTTTTAGTTTCTATTTACTTCAATATTATGGACCCCAAAATTGCCTACATTCATGTTTCACAGAAAAAAAGTCAAGGTGAGAGAATGATTAACTGTAAAAAAAATAAATAGGGTCAATTATGATTTCAAGCCAACATTTAAAGATGGCTAAGAAACATCAAATTCGATTACTAAAAAGATTTAACATTAATAACTCACCCACGGCTATTAAATGAGCTTCCAGTTTGTCCAGCTTGTTGAGCAGAAGTGCGCTGTGTAACGAGAAGTTCTGCTGGACTTGGTGGAGCTGCTTCTCTTGAGTTTGGATTTCCCACTTGACAGAGCTCATATAGAGAAACACCACAGCGACAGACAAGACTGGAAACAAACTCTTCACACAGCTTATTCTCATGATGATCAGAACAGCAAAGATCACAGACTGAGTTGTTTTCTTGATGTTTTCCGTCTTCAGGTGTCAGTTACTTTCTGAGGCTGCCACTGGTTTACATTGTTTACATTGTTCGGTTCAAGCTTTTGTGAAACTAATGTTTGCTGAGTGTTTGACACTAATGTTGGTCACATTAATCATAACAAAACGGAGGGAGAAAACCAGGACATTGAATACTGGTAGAGTTAAACACTGGGTACTTGAAATGTTATTTAGCCTCAATTTAATGGATGGCACATGTTATACCAATAATAAATGTATGTAATAAAAACTTATTTTTTAAATTGAAAACGACCCAAATAAAGTTCACTAAACTATGAAAAGTCAAATATACTTTACAGTGCAAAATTACAATGCACACTGTATTTATCAGTGAGACTGTTCACAAAAAGCTTTGTGGTTTTGAGTATTTTACAATAATATGCGGCACTGAAAACCTTCATTAAACAGACTTGGCACACAGTATTACACATCATGTTAATTTATGAAGGAACACTGCTTCTGCAAACAAGACCTACAAGTTACACAGGCTATTTAACAAACTATAAGTTTAACTATAATTACTTTGAAAACGAAGTGCTGATGAACTGGTTTACAGTTTTATTTGCATATTGCTTTCACAATAAATATTGTTCAAAAGAAGCTCTACAAAAATAAAGGTCCACCCCATATAACTGTGGCGAGGAAAAGCTTCTCTTGTTCTCCTCTCCTCCACACATGGCTCTTTTTAACCACTAGAGGGAGGCATCGCTTGAGCATTAACTGAGGGAATACAACACATTTATTACAGGAAAGGAATGCAACACATAACTTATAGTGGGAAGTCGTGGCCTAATGGTTAGAGAGTCGGACTCGTAACCCAAAGTTCGGTTGCGGGTTCGAGTCTCGTACTGGCAGGGATTGTAGGTGGGGGGAGTGAATGTACAGCTCTCTTCCACCTTCAATACCACGACTGAGGTGCCCTTGAGCAAGGCACCGAACCCCCAACTGCTCCCCGGGCGCCGCAGCATAAATGGCTGCCCACTGCTCCGGGTGTGTGTTCACTGCTGTGTGTGTGCACTTTGGATGGGTAAATGCAGAGCACTAATTCCGAGTATGGGTCACCATACTTGGCCACATGTCACGTCACTTCATTAACAAATATAAGATGTTTTCACTACCTAAATGCAAAGAGGTTCATATTTCATTAGATTACAAAAACATCTTTGCTTAACCCTCATGTTGTGTCCTGGTCATTTGTGTTCAGGATTTTTTTTTTCTGAAAAATGCTAGTTAATGTTATTGCATCAGACTAAAACTTACGGAATTCACTGCTCTCACAGAGTGTAACAACTTCCCAAATTTTTTTGATAATTTTTGTGCTTTTTTGGTACTTTGGTGTTCCCAATTTGAGTTTATACATTTCTTGTTATGCTATATTATTACCAAATATTGGATTCAATCTTGTTTCCTTTCAATTTGCACAGATTTTGTATTTCTTTTTGGAACTGATTGATCGCAGGCCTGATCTGAGCTTATGCACCTCAGTTTTATCATAATATAGCATAATGAGAGATTTACAGACAGTTTTTTATGCAACAATGAAATGTGATGCAGAATATTTGGAAAAACTGATTTTAGCATATTATCAAAAAATATTTATAATTTATCAAAATTTATTTATCAAAAAGTGCATATTTACAAAGCTAAAACACACCATTAAAAAGACATTAAAAATATTTAAAGCAAAACAAAGAAGTTATTTCTTCTTTAAGCAAGGGATGAAAGGTCTTAAATTCTGGACAAATTTCAGAAATAAATATCCATTCTGAAAACAGACTTCTTACTATTTTTTTCCTACCATGAAAGCCAAGAGATGCCCCATACACTACGAGTTACCAAAAGCCGCTGTGAAGCTTTCGATTACATTGTTTCTTTAAAACAAGCTTGTTTAGTTCGCAGCAGCATTAGGGTGAAGGGGTTTGACTCGAGCCAGACGGGAAAGTCCTAAACGCAGCCCCTGTCCGGGAGACTTCACATGTGCATTCTGAGATGCACCAGGACTCCGACCACCCTGACCTGGAGTTAGAGTTAGAAAGAGTTTACAAGAGGACACTTTTGCTGTTTTGAGCTGTTCTGGACAAAAGTCACAACTGCACAGTGATGGTTTGAGCCTTTGGTCTCACCAGGGGGATTCCACTTAGGCAGTCTGGCCCCTGCAGGACTGGAGCAGACTGCAGGTTTAGAGAGAGTCGGAGTAGTGGGCGTCTTCTTCAGTCCAGACACAGGAGCAGCTGGACTCCGACAGATCGCTGGGATGGGAGCTGTCAGAGAAAGAGATGTTATAGCTGATATGATCTTTCACCAGACTGCAAAATTTAAAAACTGAAAAAAAGAACCTGAGCTTTTAGCTTTTATTGGCTTTTTGTCTTTTTTTTCTGTCTTGTTCTTCGCAGCCGGTGGTGCCTTTTGTTTCACCACCTTCTTTTTCTTTTTCACAGTGAATGTCTTGTCTTCACTCTCATCTTCTTCAGTGAAGTCTGCATCACTCTCTGAATCTGCAACAGGAACAACCTTAAACAAATGGCTACATTGTGTATCTGAAGTATGACATTTCACCATGTAAGTACTGAAAACATAAGCAGCAGAGTCTAGTTCCATAATAATTAACAGCGTGAAGGTCCTCAGATTACCTGGTGTGTTCTGAGGCTGGTAGTCCTCATCGTCTCTGCTGTCCTTCTTCTCCTTCAGTGGTTTTCTCTGCTCCTTTGAGGTTTCCTTCTGTTTAGAAACACTGGTAGGGGAGGTGTCTATACTGATCAGATTCAGCCCTGAAAACAGGACAGTAAAAAAACACAGAGGTGCATATGCATTGACAATTACAAATTGTAACAATCATAGAAGTCTTGTTTTTTTTTTTTTATATCAGCTTCATTGTATTCTCAAAAAGAGTTTCACATTTTCAAATTTGTTAAAATCTGACTAATAATAAACCTGCATTACCTAAACTTCTGCCATCAATGCTACAATTTGACAGCACTGGAGGAGAATCTGGAGCAGGCTGACCTTCGCCAACTGTACAAAATCAAGGGAGTTTTGTTTAGAGGTTTTTGCATGGAAATATGTCAAATAAAGCTCCATAAACATGCACTTAGAATCTGTACAAATAACCGAAGAAGATAGAATCAGGTTGTGGCCTTGTAAAAGACAAAACAATTATTCCCTATTACCTAAATGGCTGCCCTCAGCACTACAGTGAACTAGAACCGGTGGCGAACACTGAGGAGGCCGAGAACTTTCATTCTCATCTGCAGAACACAGAGAAGCATAAAATAACAGTAAAACTCTATAATGCTTCATTATGCTAGTAGTACATTCACCTGTTTTGGTTGTAGGCTCTCCATCCTGTGTCCTGTCCAGCAATGATAACAATAGAGCCGTCTCTAAATCTCTTTCATAAAGTTTATCATCCACAGATGTCCTGAAACAACACAACAGTCACCCGTCAATGGTGCTATTACATATTTATATACTCAGTGGTCCATTACTGCTCTTCTGTGCGTTGATATTATAATTACACTCTGAATTTGAGCTGATTAGTAATAAAAAGTGCTTTGATAGAAAAGTTTGTGTAACCTCTTCCGGCTTCCTGAGCTGGTGAGATCAACGACTTCATTTGGAGATGCACTTGTAGTTTTGTGGTTTCTCAAAGAATCAGGGTCTTTGATGGCTGTTCGAGCTTTTTTGGGAGGAGGTTTCACACATGCAAAATCTTCATCTGTCACAGAAATCGCGTAAACATAGGTTCATAGGTCTAACTGGCTTTAGCTCTGAGCATTTTGAAGTAATATTATGAATGTAAATCTCTCACCATCATCGTCTTGTAAGACTGCATAGTTGACAGCTTTTTTATCTCTGATGACAGGTAGAAAAAAACATTAGATTGCATCAAACAAGTAACTGATATTCCAGTTTTCTGAACGCATGAAAATATCAGGACATTAAATGCCACAGACAAACAGCTATCATACAGATCCAACAACAAACACATATAGATATAGAAAGTGACACGACAACCATAAGGTATAGATTAACTTATTTTGTAATGAAGGTATGGACGTATTTGGAAAACATACATACACACCTGGATGGTCGGTCCATTCTTTATATCAAAAAGAGAAAATAAAATGTCACGTTATGCCCTGAGAATATACATTCAAATACTGACACTACCGCAGTATTTTAACAACCTTTTGTATCTACTGAACGTTATGTTGCAGAACAACCAGCAATCAAAATAATTGTAAATGTAAAAACATAATGGTCACTTAAAAAGTCTGCCTTTGTGTCAAAAGCTTTATATGCATGTTGTTTTGGTGCGAGCTGGTGTACACAAACGCAACCCGCCTGAAAACAAACGGCGGAAATCAATCTTTGAATTCACCAATTTGCAATTCATTAAAACATTTTCTATCGCTGTGTTTCCAGTTTTACATTAGGTAATGGATAAAATATCATTTATTTTTTCTAATTATTATATGGATGAAAAACCGAAATTTGTTCTACCTTGTACACGATTTTTGTGCATTTTGCAATAAATCACGAATCTGCGGATATGGTTCTGCACTGGCTAAGCGTGGACAAGGGGACACGTCACATTAAATGCTTTCATTTATAAATTAAAATGAACGTTATAATCTTTTGTTTTTAAGGTTTTATGTTGGTACACTGATGCCTATAGTTGTTAGTTATTTCTGTGAATTTTCTTAATATTTCTTGCTTTCCTAACAATTTACATTGTCTCTCAGTAAAGGAATTAAAGTCGTTTGGAAATACTTAGCAGAGTATTTTGGGGGAAAATGTTTATAAGCAGATTTATTAATGTTATAAGCAGATTATGTCTGACTGTGACAAAGGCTATAGGCCTGATATCTATTTTTGAGGTTTGGGTCTTTGCTTCCATAGAATGTCTTTTTTCAGACTAATGAAAAGAAATCATCCAAAATTCACAATTTAATTGTTTGTTACATGTTATTTGCATCTGAGCCAAAATTCCTGTCCTCACCTCTATATTCTGGATGTTTTTACAGAGGGGTTTGTTCATCTTTTACCTGAAGGCTTTTGAACCAGATGTTATCCTTTTTTTTCCTCTTCTGGACAATACATCATTTGCATGTTTAAAATAACTTCAGAAAACTTGTAATAAATCAACTGGGGATAGCTGATTAAAATGTTTACCTTATTCACCGGTGTCTTGCCTTAATTCAAGACATAATCCTCAAATCAACTAAGTCTAAATCTTCTTTTAGCATAAGCAGGTCATAGCGTAACTCAAAGGTTGGCTCCAAGTCCCTTCATCCAAAAATAGTCAAAGTGCAGCCTTTGACATTGGAAACAAAACGGAATGTGGAAAGAGACTGATATCAGATTGATTCTAAGTGTTCATTATTCACCTCTAATGATGGGAAAGTCCATGTTAAACCAAATTTCCAATGAGGAGAGCAGCAACCAACAAGCGATAAACAGATGATTTTGAATGAACTTACTTACTTTTTCCTACTGAAGACAAATAAGACACAAATAAATAGAAGAACATATTTTCTTTGATCAAGAAACAAAATTGTATTTATTTAAAACGGGCCTATAACATTTCACTGCACATCTAACACTTAAAGCAGCCATATAAATACCATAAATAAAACATATGTAATTCATTAAATAAATAAATACTTTATTGGTTGACAATTGTTTTCCACAGGTGGTGTCCAGCACCAAGGACAAATTCATGATGATGTAAAAAACGGGTTTGGTTCTTCAGGTTTTGTGAGATGCAGATACAAAACAGCCTAAATAACCTGTAGATCTCTCTTTTAAAACTACTAAAGGTTCTTTATTGGCACTGATGGTTCCAAGAAGTTTCATGGAGGAACAAAAGGTTCTTTATAGTAGAGGTTCTTCAGATTATTAAATGTTCTTCACACTAAGAAAAAAAAGGTTCTTTTAAGAACTGTTCTTTGGGAAACCAAAAAATGGTTCTTCTATGGCATCACTGCAAAAACCCTTTAGTTTGGAACCTTTACTTTTAAGAAGGCACACGTGAAATTGATTTGAAATATATGAAACACTTAGGCTATTTACGATGAAAACGCTGGCGCATCGACTTTGCGTAAAGCAGTGGCGGTTCAAGTCAAGCCTTGGAGGATCTGTAACTTTATCCGACAACTGCTGAAATCCGGGGACTGCTGGGGCTCGTGTCGTGAAGAAGATCCCACGGGTCATCATCGGAAGGGGAAACCAGAGTTTCCCTGGAGATGTTTCGACCCTCTGACGGCTCAAAGTCCAAGTCCCCATCCTCCTCCTGAGCAGCTCTGGAGTCTGACGCCTCTGCGTACCGGAGCGCGTTCAGCGGGTCTGATGGATTCACCTGTCGGTTTCTCCTCTCCCGGTGCTGCAGGTGCTCCAGTGGAACAGTGGTCTTCTCGGATAAGAAGAGAGAGGAGTGTGGGAGGTTTTGTCCCGCTATGAACACCTGTTTCACCCCATCCAGGTTAAGCAGTATGCCATGCTTGGTGGAGTAATACACGTCACGATGGTTTTCCAAAAGTTTGTGGTGAAAAAGACAGTCTTCCTTATTGCAAACCGTCTAAAGACATACAAAAATATACAAATAGTTAAATAATGAATCAAAATTATTTGATTTATCTATAGCGCCATAGTATTTTTTTTTTTACATGCATGTTTTAGCCTGTAAAAAGCTAATCTGAAATGTTTGGTTAGCCTAAAAACCCCTCCGCAGCTTTAGGTTTTAGGTTTATGGATCAAACTTATTTACAATAAAAAAACTTATTGTTAACAATTCAGAATTATTTAGCATTTTTACAGTTTTTAACGCTAAAATTCAACCTTTTTTTACACATTTTTTACAGTGTGGCAGGGACAGAAACACAAAACTCACACTTACACTCACACTCTTACAGACTCTCGCTCTCCCCCACACACATAAACACACACACACATACTAATAGCAGGCCCAGAGGACAGAGTGAAGGTACACAGGACCTAAAATGTCCACTCTTTTATTAGCCCAGTGGACCCCAACATCCTCTATGTATAAATGTGTAGGGGGGTGTACAGTGAGTGGTCATTGAAAATTTGTTCTGATATATGTTCTTCACAGAAAATGAGCCAAGGCCAATGAGTCTGAGTTTGAAAAAATTATTTAAAGTATAATTTTTCTTTTGATAAATAGTGAAAACGGGTCCCACAGACCCGAATACCATACAAGGGTTACATACGATTACAAATGACTTTTTATAGCCTATAATTTCAACTTAAATGTTGTTTACAATAGACGAATACTTACAGAAGTGAAAAGAGTTCCTCCTGCGTCCATGCACAAAAATCGGTTACTTTTCACTCCAAATATTGCGAGACGGTCTCTGCTCTCTGATTTCAATAAAATTACACCTGTTGAGTGCAGAATATAAAGAGGAATAGGCTGTGAATTACTTTATTTTATTGATAAAACAATAAAAAAAATTCATGATTAATAGACTGGTAATTTTTTTGAGGTCTTGATTTTTATTTTTACTTGCCTAATATCCTCAATATGGATATTATGCTGGTCAAAAACAGTATACTCACTGTAGGACCCCCGGTTTGTAGTTTTGCGCACATGTCCATTCGGGCTGATCTCTAAGTAGAAGTTGTTTAAGTCCGAAGTGGTCTGAAGGTGGATGTACCTCCGCGGGTTCCCCCAATTGGAGCCCAGGAGGGGAGAAGGGTTGGGGGCAGCATCTGCAGGTTTGAATCCCTGGGGAGCCGTGATCCACAGCGCAAGGACAGAGGAGTGCAGCATGTGCAGAGTTGAAAGTGCGCAACGCATCTTCACAGAGCGCAAAGTATCGATGCGTAAAACCAGTTTGCAGAGCTGAAGAAGTTGTGATGCGTGAAAGTTGGTGAGCGCGGCTATTTAAACGCATGCTGTGCCACTCCTTTACGCAACACTCGTCCGCAGAGCCAGAGGATGTGAGGAGGCGGATTCAACATGTCCACCTTCTGTTTGTTATGAGGGTAATTGACTGGTAAACCATAATTGGCTTTGTCAATTTGGCACAGCTTTGACTTTCTAAGACGTCTTGGTGTCTAAACAAAATTGAAAACAAGAATACATTTGAATAGTTTTTGTGCATGTGAGAATCATCTGGTTGTCTCCTAATGTTTCTCAAATGCTAAATCAACCTATATACGTTTATTTTGCCTATATATTAAGTATATATAGGCCTAACCTATAAAAAAGGTACAAAGCTGTTACTGCGGAGGTATCTCAAGACAGGAAAGTTCAAAAGGTACATCTTTTCACCTTATTTACTCCACAATGTCACATATTACTAGCCTACTTTAAAAGTACAAATTAGTACTTTTTTAAAGGGTACCGCCCAAGTGACTGTTTTGTACCTTTTTTCTGGTAATGTATTAAGTGACTGCATGATATACTGAACGGATAGTTGCTTTGGATAAAAACGTCTGGCATACCAATAAATGTCAATGTAATGGAAATATAGTATGACCTCAATCTGAACTTCCTCAAGTTGGCCAGCAGAGGGAACTTGTGGCTCTTTCACGAACAAGTAACGCACCAAAAATTGTCCTAACATGAGTATAGGCTAGCTGTGTGCAACACCGTTTCATTTATTTTCATTTTGATTTAATTTTATTTCGAACGAAATATATATATAACTAAATATACAATCACAATAAATGTGTTGCAACATATAAATATAATATTAAAAATAAACCATTTCCATTATTCGTATATAATATAGACTAATATATAATATGATATAGCAACATACATAATATATTAATGATTGTAAACTTTATATGATATTATAATAATATAATCATATTATTTATTTTTAAATACTTTATTTTTATTTTTATATCAGGAGCAATAACCATAATTTGGGCTTGGAGAAGTAATGATTATCTCTCAAAAATGTAAACATTTCATAATAATTTTTAACATTATGAAAACATTTTTTACAGAGAAACTGGATCCAAGAGATTTCATGTTTTGCATATGAATCAGACAAAAACATCAAATAACCATGACAGGAAAGAAGTTTATGAATTACTTGCGAGTAGTTTATTGAACTGTTGTCATGTAGTATAAATGAACCTGTATGAGTGTAACATCCTGACAGTGTTATTACTATGGTAAAAAATCAGTTCTGGGCACACTGTGCATGACTGCTCACTGTACTTGCTACTTTGAGCATAACTAAAATGTGAAACACATGCATATGAAATAAAATAAAATAAATAGTTTTATTAACATCAGGAATATGATTCAACTGCTGTGCACAGCACATACGTAGAAAAGGAAAGGAAAAAAAAATCTTAAATATATTAGTATTTATACATAGCATCAACGCTTGTCCTCAGAAACACAAGTATGTCCTCAGTTTCCTACTGTCAAAAAATCTTTACAAGAAATCATAACTGAGGCAGAAGCATACAGAAATACAAAACTTTTAAACAAGGAGAAAATACAGCCACACGAAATCCTGGATTTTACTGATATGCAGAATGACAAGTGCTGATAGTCAAAATTAATTAGGAAAATATTGTGGATATGAACTGAGTATAATGAGTATATATACTGTAGGCCTATTAAAATAAATCACACTAAATGATTAATGATGCCTCACAGATACGGGGGTCTTCACTGTAACAGGATCAGCCACACAAAGCCATTTCAAAACAAAGACTCTGCAAAGCCACGAACGGGCATCCCGTTCTAATGCCTCCGGTGCTCCAAGGATTCCCGAAACCCTCCCTGCATATGAGAGGAGGATTCAGCCGTGACAGCTTGCAGTCCTTCACGCACATACGTTCTTCTCATGAGTCCAGAGTGTACCAGGAAACTGGTGTCTATATTCTATGCCCAATAAACATTTTTACAGCTGTTGCTATAAATCCAAGCGACATATATCAGCAGATGAGATGGCTCCGATTCCCAAATGTTCACGCACATCGCTCATTCTTCACAGACTTAAGATGGTGCTGTCACAATCAGGACACAAATGAAAGAAACAGCTCATTTGGCTCCCTGATTTCACTCCCCTATTTTTAATGCTTCATTAGTGCTCAAGATTTTATAACACATTCAGAAGACATACTGTATTAAAATAGCATTATATAGTTTGACCAGCGGTATTTTAGTACCGGTCTGCCAAACCCATTACTCTTTAGTTACTTTATGTAAAGTTTAACCTGCTTCCGCGAAACCACAGCCAAAACGTCTTCACAGATGAGACCACGAAACAAGCAGCTTGGCAGAGGCGAGAAATGATCAGCCTTTTTTGTCTCCCTAAAGTATTGCGTCAGTCCTGCAGAGGTCTGTCCTGATATATTCACTGCACTAGAGGAAGGAGCCAGTCCCACAAAAACTTCTTTTCATAGTAGCAAACGAGTGTGAATAACCCAGCAAGGTCATGTTACTAGATGTGCCCAACACAATCTCACTGCAATTCATAGCTGTTTTATTTTTGCCGAATTGGTGGATAATTCGTAATGTACATTTTTGTACAAATCACATTAATATGAAATCGCCACCATGTAAAATATGTTTTCTCATGAGATCAGGTTGGATTTGTTTGGATTCACGGTGATCTGAAAAGTTTGGCCTCAGATGCAAGTTAACATGAAACAGTAACCCATTTTAATTCTCTATTGCAATGAACTTCTGAGTGAAAACAGATATTTAATGGGAAAAAACGTGATTTTAGAAACTTGATTTTAGCCGTCAGAAATTATTTAATCATGAAAAGTGTCCGTTTATCATTTTGCTAAAATATTACAGAGACAAACATTTTTTCTTTGGAATAATGTGGATTGATAAATCGCAATGACCAATACACAATAAGACCAGGAATCAATGTAAAGAAAGTAAATCGGGACGATTTTGATTTCATGCTGATTACATTTTGCCAAACTTTTGTGGGCAAATAAGAACCATTTAGTGTAGAGATGTATGAAGCACAGCTCACACAGAAGCCACTTTAAAACCAATTTTGTGTTGAAATTACTGGAATTCACCCAACAGAGCAATGGTAAATTCAGTTAAGAGCAACCTTAACTGAATCCAGCATGGATCCAAACAAATGACAATGAGACCACAATGGACTTGAGAAAAGGAAACGAGACCTTGGACGGACCAGTTCAACTCCATGGCTATAACCTTGGACTAAAGTTGGATGGAAAACCATAAAGAACCCTAGCGCTACTATTGGAATCTCAAGGCTTCTGAACATCGTGGCTTTTACAAGACTATCCATGTGCGAGGGAGATGTCACCAGTGTGGCCTCTGCTCAGGTATTCCACCCCCACATACTCCAGACAGATTGAACAAACAACAAGGCTGTAAGTCTTTCTAAAATAGCATCATTCCTTTTGATTTCCCTTCAACCCTCATGCCGTGTTCAAATCATTTTGACCCATAGATATTTTCTTTTTCTTGAAAATGCTAGTTAGTGTTCTCACATTGGACTAAAACTTACTGACCGTGCTAACACAGGTCATTACAACTTTTCAAAAATAATTGTTGTACTTTATTGGTAGTTTTTCCACCTTGTTCCACCTCTAAAATGAACAACCTACAAAAAATTGCTTATTAATTTCTCGTCGTGCTATATTATTGCCAAATAATGGTTTTAATCTTCTTATCAACTTGTTTTCTTTCGATTAGCATGCATGGGTTTTTGTATTTGTTTTGGAACTGATTGATCATAGGCATCATTGATCTGAGTTTATGCACCTCAGCTTTTAAGTGACCAGTGCCAAAATGATCCACAAATGCTTTTTTCACTCAAAAACTGAAGTGCATAAGCACAGATCAACGAGGCCTACAACCAATCAGTTCCAGAAATAAATAAAACCTGTGCAAATTGAAAGAGAACAAGTCGACAAAAAGATTAAATCCAAGATTTGGTGATAATATAGTGTTAATGAGAGACTTACAAGCAATTTTCAAAAGGCACATTTTCAAAAACATTTTTGACCAGAAACACCAATGAGGTAAAGGTTAAAAAACAGGGTGGGGCCACATTTGGTGACAGAAACTGATGCAAACAAAGGCAGACATACCAAAATCATAAAAAACAGTGAGCGTCCCTCAGTTCGGATGCCACACGGCGTCTGCCCTGTAATTACATTTGCATAGCCTCTGCAGCAACAGGAAAGAGCCAGACTCGACTGCCTCCTTTGACCAGGATTCACACACACACACACACACACACACACACACTCACACCAGAAGCAAAAATAAATAAACATATACCGCACATATTCCCTTGAATCAAATACCATCACTGATGGCAGTGTGCCTTTAGCAACAAGCAACAAAGCTCAGGGCTACTGGCGTTTTCAGTGCACAGTCAGTATTTACAGTATTTTCATTGGTTTAGAAGACATTCTCATTCACAGCAATGCTTAAAGCTTATTTTCGAGTGCTCCTTTTGTTCAGGCAAACCTGTGGTAAGCAATAGTATAATCGAACCAGCCATGTTTAACATTTTCAGTGTGCGCTTGCATCAGTTGCCCTGTAGATTTCTCACTTTTTTGTTGTTGTTTTTTTTTTCTCGTTTTCTTTAAAAAAAATTCATTTTGATTGCAAAAACAGTCTAGTTCACAAATAAAATGTACAGCCTCAAAGCTCCAATAGGGGTCTGGCTAGAAAAGATAATAGCCCCTTTCACACATCTTTACTGGTAAATTACTGGTAAATTACAGTTTAGAGATCATGTGGCAACAGGATCTTTTTTTAAAATACCAGTAAGTCAGTTCTAGCAGCATTTTGGTTACTATTGTGTGGCGTTTTGAAGAGCAAAAACATGTTCTGTGTGATCATTTATGGAATCCTAGTTCCACCAGGGAACAAAAAAATTAAAAAAGGTAACTGTAACTTTTTTCACATAATTTTTTCTCAAAATTGCAAATAAACTCAAAATTCTGACTGACTTACTCGCAATTTCTCGCAGAGTTTACGTCTTGCAACTGTCCTTTTTTTTCGTCTGAATTCTGAGTTTTATCTCAGAATTCTGATGTTTTTCTCACAATTGCAAGTTTAGATCTCACAATTTCTTTTCAGAATTGCACAATTCTGACTTTTTTCATAGTTCTGAGGTTACTTCTCACAATTCTGCCTTATTTTCCTCTGCATTCTGAGCTTACATGTCGCAGTTCTGACTTTTTTGTTTCTGCCATGGAATGAAAAATAAAAAAGGTAATTGTGACTTTTTATCTCACAAATTTCTGGCTTTTTTCCATTGCAATTGTGAGTTTATATCTCACAATTTGGACTTTTCTTCTCAGAATTGCAAAATGTTTACAAGCCGTAAACTCGCAATTACTAGATAAAACATCCATATTATATGAGGTAAAAAGATGTGGAGGAAACAGGTTTCCATAATCATCCTCTTACGCTTGACACTCAGAAGTCAAAAAATTTAAAAGATAATTAAACCAAAACGCATCTCCACATATGAGCCGATGAAGAAAAAGTACTGCGTCATTTCCGATGACTGACATCACAGAGTTTACCGGTAATTTGGTACTGAGGTATGAATGGTCTCTTACCAGTACAAAGCCATTGCTTACTGGAAAAGTCATTCTGGTCATTTTCATGGCAATTTACTGTGATTACCATGTGAATGGGGCTAAAGTTTCACCTCATTTCTGAGTCAACATCAGATGCTGAACACCAGAGATGATCAGTGTTTACGAGCCGCTCTCACGTCTCATGCGGCGTTCTCTAATTAGAGAAAAGTAAAATAAAGCAGAGATGCACACCCATCCCCCTCACCCCTCTCCGGGGCCCTTGTGGGACAGTCCCTGCGGGGCCCTGGCTAACATATCAGCCCTATTTCTGACGCACCGTGGCGTTCAGAGCATGCATGTTAAAGGGGCGCTGTGTGGGAATGCCAAGGCACCTCAGCGTGACATGCAGCAAGAGTGATCTGCTTCCTTATAAGTGCTCACACAATCCCACAGCATGAGAAAAACAGAAAGAAAATAAAGTCAAAGATAAAAAAATAAAGACTTATGCTTGTGTCGGCTCAGACAGAACTAAAAATAACAAGCGTAACTCCATGCATCCTTTTAAACCATCTAGGTAGCTCTTTGAGGTAATAAAAAACATAATTTCACTGTAAAAAGCCAAGGAGGACTTCAATAATCCGTCCTAAAATCTGTTTGATTCTTGACAAGCACCTGATTACAGAAAGGAGGGCTGGGAGAGCCTCCACATCCATAATCAATAATATATAAATAAAAGTAAGCAGCGACGGATAGCATATTCAGTGATCCTAATAAAAAGCTGACCTATCCAAATATACATATAAAAAACAGTAAAGTACTATTTTGGTGATATTCTTGCAGTTCATTGTATGTTTGTGAGTCAGTTTTCAGACCTCTCGGGGAGATCAGCGCAAATGAAGAATTATTGCAAGAGTCTGCTCATATTCGAGGGAGGAAGTGGGTGACCGTCATGGCGGTGGTGGCCTTGTTGCCTCGCTTCGCTCGGCCACGTTTGCTGAGAGCGACATAGAATCCCTTGTAAACGGAGGACTCGTAGGCATTGTAGTTATTTGGCAGCAGGGTCTCCTTGAACTTGCATTCGTCTTTAAAGGTAGCCTGAAAAAAGGAGAACAGAATGAATGTGAATACCAACATTCAGTCAGATGCATCTGTGTTTAGCATCACTGAGATAGTATTTGTAATTCAATTTTTATCTTTGTATTTTTTGTTTTCATTTTCATTTTAGTTACAGTTTTAGTAATTTTGCTGTTTTTGTGATTTTTATTAGTTATTGGTTTTTTTAAATGTCTATATAGTTTTTATTAATTTTTATTTGAGCTTTAGCTATTTTAGTTCATCAATTTAAATTGAGTAATTTTAGTATCGAGAAACTATTATACATTTTCTTATATAAACATTTTGAAGTAGGTTTATTTTTGTATTTTCCGCTTTCTTTTTAAATTTGGTTAAAGTTTAAGTGATTTGTGTTTTTTGTCATTTTTATTAGTTATTGTTTTTTTTATATGTCTATATAGTTTTTGTTTTATGTTTAAATTGTTTTATTACATCAAGTTAGCTAAATGAAAATGAGAAATTATGTATTATTTTATTACTTTTATATATTTTTTATATTTTTGAATAATTTTGTAATTTCCAGTTGCATTTTAATTTTGGTTAAAATTTAAGTGATTTTGTTATGTGAGATTTTTTTAATGTATGCCCACATAGTTTCAATTATACCGATATAATTTCAGTTTTAGTTATTAAACTAAACAAAAATGACCAATTTTGCTTTGGCAACTATCTGAAATAAGCTGAAATTTGTTTGTATTTTATTTTATTTCAAGTAACAAATATGTTTTGTGTGTGTGGTTTTAGTTTTAGTTAGCTATAATAACCCTGCAATGCACAAATATTTTTGCCCTCATGACTATTAGTGAGTCAAACATCTTGAGCAAATAAATTAGGCTTCTGTTGAAGTAGTTAGTGAACTCAACTCAAAAATAACAGCACTGTTTTGCACATGACTTTGAGTGCAAATACATCTAACCTCTTGAACTTATCAGTTTCTCAGCCTCATTGCCCATAACAGCCAACATACTGAACAAACTTGCTAAGAATCTTTCAGGTGAGTCTGGTTCTTCAAGAAAACCATTAACCTGAAGCATTAATCTGATGCTAATCCCTGAGCTAAACGGGCCTTTTAATTAAAAACCACTTAAATGATAATTGCAAGACCGGCCTGTGGCATCTACTTTATCTCTGCTTCTCCAGAAGATGCTCTTGTAACACTCTGCAGTTTTTGGATAGAGCTGCCGTGCTCTCATGGGCCCCAAAGGACCAGTGTTGCACTGCGCTTGTCACACCTATGCCTAACTTCAGCCAAGCCTGCCAAGTACCTTTAAATCACACATCATTTGTGTAAAGAACAAACTACATAATCACTAGCTACAACTGCTATTAACAGTTCAAAACAAGTGTAAATAGAAGCTGCTCTACAAAATATTTCAATTTATGCACACATATTTCATTAAGGGAACTTTTATAAACACACTAACACAAAATAGGGTGAATTCAGGTTAATGTGTAGTCATCCCAGTGTCCCAATTTACCAGAAAGTGTAAAGCAAGATGAAAACTGCAATTACGCACTTTATGTGTGACTATTCCTACTAATAATATATAGCTACCAGCTAATATAAAAGAATGAGGCGTTAGTTTATAGGCTAAATGCAAGCAATTATTATAAACCTTTTTACTCGTGCTTGTAAGCCGCTTTGGCGCTGTGCCTGGATCTAATGCACTGCTTAATAATAATTTGCAAAAGCCGTGGAGCTGTGGCAAACGTACTGCTTCAACTAACCAGAGCACATTATATTTATAAGGCATGAATAATTCAATGCAGCACACGACGTAAACACTATTATTAGTCGCGCGACCCCCTCACGTGCCAACTGCATGGATCATGAATTACTTGAAAACGCTCAATGGAAGCGTCACCTGTTTAACACATACACGCATACAAGAACTCGATTTTCGGGGATGCAAAGCCTCGTTGCATATGCAGGCAGAATGAAAGGCGACACGGTTGTGCACACCTACCGTTCCGTACAACCTTCCTCTGTTATTCATTGCGACAAACAGCTCGCTTTTCACACCGTACAGGCTAATCACTCCTCTGGCCACAGTGGAGATCTCTATGAGACCTAATCAAACAGAACAAGCATGTTACACACAATAAAGAGGCTCCGCGTGACTTTGAACAACAAGGCATGCGGTGGGTGGAACCTCTGCAGGTGCCAATTGTGGATGCGCAAATGGCCTCTTGCGCCACTAGGCTACTACATTATTGCCGAAAGACGAACATCCCTCACACTTTGAGAGTCGTGCATGTTCTAAGCGCTTCTGGGCCGCACAAGGAGCCGGTGTAAAAATAAGTTGGCATCTATATCCGTCCCAGCATTCATGTCATGTTTAAGCCCAGCGCAGATATTTAGCACTAAGGGATACTGTGCGTGTGTCTGTGTTTTAATAGATTTCTAGTCTTTGCCTCCAAACTGACAAGTGTCGCTTACAAAGAATAAAGAGCTCTGCGCAATTAATTATTGCATTATTCCGTGAACTCACTGTACTGGTTCTCATTATGTACACCGTTTATCTTGCCGTCTGGGAGGACCTGAAGATGAAACCCGATGCCTACATTGCAGTATAGCCTCCGCACTCTTTTGATGCCCAGCAAATAGTCATTCTCCCAGTTCGCCTCTGATCTCTCTCCAGAGATCCCCAGCACGGAGCGGGAGAAGAGGCTCTCCCATCGCTTCTCCAGTAAAGTTGTCCTATTAGTCCTACTCGGAAGCGGACTGGAGGACACAATCCCAAATAGGAGCAATCCTAAGAGCAGAACGGCAGTCCTTGGCCAGTGTTGCGCGTTGGCCTCGCAGGACATACTGATGAGGAGCCTTTGCGCAATGGCCATCGGGTTTACCTTCGGGGCACGTGGTCAAAATTAATGGCACTAAAAATACCCCTCTTCTAGTTTTTCTTCCCTCGGCATGGTGGTGCAGGCTTAATTTAGCGAGGCAGGTCAGGACTTCGGGCATGCGACGGTGGCCCGAGATGAGAGCGGCGGAAGAACGGGGAGAGAGCGCGGAGACACGACTTGAGGTGAAGAAGGTGGTGATGACCATGTTTTGCAGCTCCAAAGCCTCGGGTCGTGGAGAATGCCACTCACCAAAATCCCTATCTCACCTCAGAAGCCACCCTCATCCTTACATGACATCATATTAGGGGAGGGGGGAGGAGAGAGAGTGAGAGAGAAAGTTGCGAGCGGCGAGGAAGAACTGGCCGGACTGATGATGATGGGTCGCTGCTGTCACTCCACGTGTGAAATGGGGGTCGCATGCTGAGCCTTATTGGACGGCTTGCGCGCGATCATGGGATGCGATGGGCACTCTGGCAGCGCCCAAATCGGGACGGTGGTCATATGTCTGACAGCCCTGCTTCCTTATTTAGAAGGATAGTATAAAAACAGTCCACTTGTCACCGGAGAGCAATGGCACCCCTGCTCTGTCACATCTCAGGCTGTTTGTGCAGGAAGTTTACACAACGACCTGATTCTAGAATACTGCGCTCCCACAATGCGTGCCGAACAAAACGTTCCGCGTCTCGTGCATCGCGCAGCCTGATGTTTTTATCTTCCGGGAGGCTGCCTCTCTAGATCTCGTGGCGGTCATGCTGTGCAAAAAGCACCTTCAAGAATGCTCGGACCGTGCGCAATGTCCAGACGTCAGCAGATGCTGCGCGTCGTTGCGCGGCTCTCCAGGTGCGCAGAGAGAGATTGTGGTGACGCTTGGGGAGGCGCTGTTGCTGGCAGCGTGAAAAGCGCCAATCACAATTATTTGCCATTGCCTGGTTCCTCTGGAATATGGAACAAAAGTCAATTATTAAGACGTTTCAGGACAATGTACTCTGCCATAAACATGTGTACATAATTATAGAATTTTACTATATCATCTTTATACTTTTACTATAATTTTACTTACTTTCCATTTAAATCAAAATAAATGTTAAATAAAAAAATTTAATGAATTAAAATTAATTTAATATATATAAACACACACTTAAATAAATTAACTGAGATATATACACATTTTGAAAACTTTTATCTATAGGTAAACTGGTTAGTAGGTATATATATATATATATATATATATATATATATTAATTCAATTTATGCAATTTAGTCAATGTTTAGTCAATGACTATCAAAAGTTTCAACCACACTGGGGGAAAAATATTATCTCTACAACACAATGCAATGCAGTTAAAACATTCAAAATACATTAAAACACCTGTAAAAATCAATACTGAAAATTCCTTCATATTAATACAGTACATTGTGCCCTATTTTTTATGGATGTTTTGTTTTAGAGTGTAATCATACTGTATATGACCCTAATCGGACCATATAAAACAAAAACTACACCTTATAGAACACTTCATTCAAACAAGTGTTTACTACTGTCATTTTGCATTATTGACACACTATTTTCCTATTTAATACTGTAAAGTTGCTTTGACACAATCTGTATTGTTAAAAGTGCTTTATAAATAAAGGTGACTTGACTTGACTTGACAAGTATTCCCACTTAGGATTGACAGCTGTGATTCAGGTTAACTGAAGAACTGCAGTGAATAGCAATAAAATTAAAAGTCATGACATTAACTTTTGCAGCTGAGAAGTCATCAGCTGTCTTTAAAATGCTTACAGCTCTTGTTAAACAGTGACAGTCTAATTAGCAAAGAAATCTCAAATCAGTAGCAAAATACCCTCTGACCCCTGAAGCACCAACACAAGCAGCATAATCAGTATCACTGACGTCACTGCAGGGCCTTCACGTCTAAGGATGTTTTTACACACAGAGTAGTGTATAAAAAGTAGGACAGTTTTGCTGATGTTGTCAGAATCACAATGACATGACTGTTTTAATAGCACACATAAATCTGGTTGCATGCATTAACGCTGATGCACAGAACAGCGAATCCACCCCTTGGCATAATTCACACAATTTCCACATATCCATGTTGATAACACAGCAAAACTAAGATCAAAGCAGACATTTCACATTCAGCTGTCATTGCATCTCAAGTTCAGACAGATTACGGCACACCCAAACATCTGCTGCACATCACTTCAGTTTACCTGAGATAGGACTCAACAGTCTGTGACTCGCTCAATGATTGATTTATAAATGAAACAGCTTCTAATGGCGAATGTGAATATATTAAAACTTGATTTTTGAGGTTATAGGCAGATACATTTAGCAGCACTTTATAGATTTGAAGGATATCGTCATTAAATGGGGCTTTGTGCGAGGCGGGGTTGTCACAAACCACGTAACTGGATCCATTGCGGTTTCAAACCCTTCCAATTAGATTTTTATTAACGTGGGTTTAGGCGGTATAGAAACGACAGCTGAGAAGAGCCGTTGAAATCCAGGAGAGAATTACTCACACATGACATCAGGAGCATCAGTGGACGTTTAACATTTAACACAGTGCACAAATGGCATTCTCTACAGGAGAGCAGCTGTGCGGCGGTACCCATCCACATCCTACTGAAGAAAACCCTGCAGCATATGCTCTATTTTAACTTGCATTTCAGATTGCATTGCATTCCAGCTCTTCATTAAAAACAAGCTGTGTGCCCAAGCACTAGAACAATCTGCATGATGGCACTTTGGGGTAAATAAAGCTGGCAGTCTGGGTGTAAAAGTGTCCAGTGGAATGGCAGAGATGGATACGAGTCAGGCCCTGTGATCTTGCTGACACAGATGATCAATAATTCAACACGGAAAAGCCTTCAGTTCACCTTTTATTTTTCTTAAAATGCGCAAAAAAATAACTGGTCTGTGAAACAATGAATTCTATTACAAATGATTGAATGGAGAAATTTTTGCACATATTAATTGACAAATCACTTATATAAAAATTGGCAGCTACAACACAAATGCTGCAAGCTATTGGGAAATTAATTAATTAATTAAATTAAAGTTCAAATTAATATAAAATAAAATTCATATAATTAATATATACATACACACTACCATTCAAAAGTTTGGGGTCAGTAAGATTTTTTTTTTTTCAAGAAAGAAATTAACACTTTTATTCAGCAAGAACAATGTGAAGTTGAAGTACTAAAATTACTCAAACTAAAATTGAAATACAGCTGAATAGAAATATTAAAACTAATAAAAATGAAAAAATAACAAAATTACTAAAACTAAACTGAAAATGTAAACGTAAAAGCTCATTCAAAAATAAAAAAACTCAAGCAATTTATAAATAATACTAAAATGATAACGATTTTTATATACATGTGATTTAAAAATTCAGTTACAGTTTCCACAAAAATATTACAGTTTCCACAAAAAACATATTCATCAGCACAACTGTTTTCAATGTTGATAATCAGAAATGTTTCTTGAGCTCCAAATCATCATATTAGAATGGTTTCTGAAGGATCATGTGACACTGATGACTGAAGTAATGATGCCCGAAAATTCAGCTTTGATCACAGGAATAAATTCGATTTTAAAATATATTAAAATAGAAAACAGTTATTTTAAATTGTAATAATATTTCACAATATTACTGTTTTTACTTTTAAATGTTTCAGAAACAGTTATAAAATTACTGACCCCAATGTTTTGAATGATGTGTGTGTGTGTATTGGTACTATATATACATACATACATACATACATGCATATATACATATATATATAGTTTTGAAATGATCAATCACCACTAGTGATGTAAAGTGGTTTCTGCAGTGAAGTTCCTGTTGTGGCAGGGATTTTGTGTGCCAGGCTGAGCTGCAAGAACAGCACTAAAAGCACAGTGTGTTCATGAGCTGACAAGAACTCAAGAGAGAACATCTGACCCCTGCAGAGAGCAGAACTCTGCGCACACTATTAGCACAGCTGAAACTCACAGCACAATGACTCAGGTAAAATTTCTGTCCACCTTAAAAACAAAGGTCACTTTACTTTTGCTGATCGAGTTCTGAATCTGGGGATTTAAGCTTTTTGTGCTTTTGTTTGTCTGGTTGTCTGCTTCTTTTTCTCGTGAGCTGAAAAGTGCACAGTCATTTTAAATGACATCCTCTCACCACTCATTACACGAGTCACTGTTTCTCAGCGCGACATCAGGTGTTGAGTATGGATCATCCTCATATGCACTCTCATCAGATCAAGAGATATTCTGTTTTATACATTTATAAAGGCTCAATCTACTACAAAAAAGCACAACTGCCATCACCTTAAACAGAACCGCTGCTACTTGGTTCACAGATCCTGCTGGAATAACTTGTTTGCACAGAAATGGTGCATTCCATCACTTGTTCACCAAAGGATCCTCTGCAGTGAATGAGTGCCGCCAGAATAAGAGTCCAAACAGCTGATAAAAACAGTCCACTCCATCAATTAATGTCTTTTGGAGTGAAAAGCTGCATGTTTGTAAGAATCAAATCCATCAAGGCATTTTAAATAATTCTTGGCAAAATACAAGTCTATAATACATAATATTGCTTCCGTCTGTGAAAATCTGTCCCCTGTTGTCCTCTCACACCCAAATCATATTTGTTTAGAACTGTTTTATCTCTGCATATTTCTCTCCTGATTCAGATTAGACAACTTGAAGAAAGCAATATTATGGGACTTGTATTTTAGCTGGAAGCAATGGTTTAAAGTCTTCATTATGGATTTATTGCAAACACGCTTTACACTTCACAAGACATTTATTGATGGACTGGAGTGGTGTGGATTATTGTGATGTTTTTATCAGCTGTTTAGACTCTCATTTTGACGGCACCCATTCACTCTAGAGGAAACATTGGGGAGCAAGTAATGTAATGCTAATTTATTTTTTATTTTAGTTTTTAGTTTTTGGGTGAACTATTCCTCCACTAACACCAGTAAGTACTAAAAAT